AACAACATATATATATATATATATATATATATATATATATATATAAAGATAGTTCAATCATGGCCAACAAAGTGAAACAATAACAAACCTAAATTTGTAAAAATGTCAGTGTACCAGAACAATAACCAGAATGGGAAAAATTACAGACTGATGGACTCTGGTGGCATAGTACCTAAGGCACTTGACTGATAACCAGAAGGCTGGTGGTTCAAACCCACCAGCCAATCCTCGGAAGGAAGGTTGGGCAATCTACTTCCATAGTAGAGCTGACTTGACAGCAGTGAGTTTTTTTTTTTTCTTCATCTTTATATCATATTTATCATAGGTACTAGGTACTATCTGAGCACTTTACAAATATTAACTCAGTTAATCCTTACAACAACCCTATGAGGGAGGTACTGTTATTACCCCCATTTGTCAGATGAGGAAACTGAGGCACATGCAAGATAAGTTACTCATCCCAAGAAAGGCTTTATGTCATCCAGTGTTATCATGAGAAGGGCTATTCTTGATTCTGAGATTATATCCTTCTACTTTTTTGATATTAAAATATCTTTTATAAAAATTTTTTTATTGTGATTTGGGTGAAAGTTTGCAGAGCAAATCCACTTTCCATACAGCAGCTCATGTACACTTTGTCTCATGACATTGAGTTCAGTTTCCCACAATGCAACAGCTCTCCTCCCACTTCCTCCCCATAGTTACCTCTTCCCTGTGTCTTTCCCTCCCATGCACTCCTGCCCCCCGAGCTGTATCCCTCTGCATACACAGCCCTTCTATTCTCCCATGATTGATTTCTCCAAGGAGTGTATTTACCTAATGTAAATGTTCAACTCATATGCCTGCCTTTTCTTTGGTTGGAAGCCATGGCATGGGTTCAATTCCAGACCTGAAGAGCAGCTAGGGGCCATAGGTTCAGTGGCTCCATCAGGCTCTATCAGACCAGCAAACCTGGTTCCCCACATTTTTTTTTTTTAATTTAATGATTTTGAGTTTTGTTCCACATTGTTCTCCTACTCTGTCCAGGATCTCCTACATAGACCCCCCTCCAAGTGGTTGGAAGTGGTAGCCAGGCACCATCTAGTTCTGGTTTCATAGTCATATAGGCTGAGGATTGCATGCTGTACCAGTCACTTGGACTAATTGTTTCCATGCATCTTTGGTTTTCTTCATTCTTCTTTGCTCTGGACGAGGAGAGATCCATTGTTGCATCTAGATGGCCTCCTGCAAGCTTTTAAGATCCCAGTTGCTATTTGTGGAACAATGTTTTTGTGTAGTATGTTATGCCAATCGAGCTTGATGTTCCCTGTGACCATGGTCCTGAGCCCACAGGTCCAACTATTTGCTTCCTTTGGGTAGCTGGCTGTGGCCAAGAAATTATTACAACTTTGTCCCTTGTGAGCTCTACTATATACCTGGGAATTCTTAGAGAACATACAAATACAATTGTAGAAATATTGTCTGCCAACCCTATACATGGTTATGGGCACATTTCTCCCTGCATAAACCTACCTAATAGTTCAGCCTTTTCACCCATATTGATATTAAAATATCTTTTTTCTTTTTTTTAAATTGTTATTTGGGTGAAAGTTTACAGAGAAAATTCACTTTCCATACAGCAGCTCACATACACTTTGTCTCATGCCATTGACTACAATTTCCCACAATGCAACAGCTCCCCTCCCACCTCCTCCCCATAGTCACCTCTTCCCTGTGTCCTTCCCTCTATGCACTCTTGCCCCATGAGCTTTGTCCCTGTGCATAAACAGCCCTTCTATTCTCCCATGATTGGTGTCTCCAAGGAATGTATCTACCTAGTGTAAATGTTCAGCCCATATGCCTGTCTTTTGTTTGGCTGGCAGCCACAGGAGTGCCCTGAAGGGCAGCTAGGCACCACAGTCTCAGTGGTTCCATCAGGCTCTATCATACCAGATATTAAAATATATTTTAAGAAATGGTAATGACAAGATACTTTTTGTCTTTACTTGGCAAAATAAATTAGCCATACTATGTCATTAGCATCTCTGGGTAGTACTGGACTTCTAACCAGTTTGCACTTGACTACTAACTGGAGCTCTGATAGCGTAGTGCCTAAGGCACTTGACTGCTAATCAGGAGGCTGGTGGTTCAAACCCACCAGCCACTCCTCCAAAGGAAGATAGGGCAATCTACTTCCGTAGTGATACTGCCTCAGAAACCTAAGGAGGGGTCGCTATGAGTTGGGTCTGACTCGGTGGCACATAACAACAGCAACAACTAACTGGAAGACTGGCAATTCAAACCCTCCCAGATGCACTGCAGAAGACAGGCCTAGTGACTTGCTTCTGTAAAGATTACAGCCAAGAAAACCCTACGGAACAGTTCTACTCTGTAACACATGGGGTTACCATGAGTTGGAAACAACTCAATGGCAATGGATTTACTTTTGATTTGTGTCATTAGCACATTTTTTGGAAATTTGATTCTTAAATCCTCAAGTCCAGGAAGTAGTACTCTGGCTACCAGGGCTGGAGTTGGGTGAGGAGGGTCCAGGTGAGCTTTGTTTCTGTGGATGGTCTAGGATGGGCATCAGACAGGCTCATCGTTCTCTAGAAGACACCAAGGTTGGTATCCCCAGGGTATCAGTGAGTGGAGTTTTTTTTTTTTTTTTCAAAGAGGAGCACAAGGACAAACAGCAAGCTAGTAACAGCCCTTGAAGCCACAATCACTCCCCACTGCAGACCCCGCCTGTAGAAATCCAAGTCAGGATTATCTGTACTTCTCTTTTCCTTCTCCTTGTCTTTATTCATTTCAGTGGAGACTCAGTTCAGCCCCATCCACCTGTGCCCATCCAGATAAAGATTGTGCTTAGGGTGAGCTGAGATGCATTTGGAGATTGCTTTGCAATGAAAGGTCTCCAAGGCACTGTAGAGCTTTGCACCATCCCTGAGCATGTCAGCTCCTAGGTCCCTTGTATGAATGTGAGAAGGACCTTGATCTCCCTGTACCTGCCTCCCATCTGCTGGGTAAGAGTCATCACTGTCTTCACAGGTGTTCTCTGAGCTTATTGGGTGAAAAATATCAGGAAAGAATCACATTTGGGTAGAAAAATGAGTACTATGAACAACCTAGACTTATTGAAACCAAGTTGTGCCTAATGAATCAGATGGCATCTTGGGCCAGAAAAACCAAAAAACCCCAAACTCACTGCTGTTGAGTCAAAACAGACTCAGTGATTCCTCCTTGGGTTTCTGAAGCAGTATCTCTATGGAAGTAGATTGCCCAGTCTTCCTTTCGAGGAGTGGCTGGTGGGTTTGAACTGCCAGCCTTCTGGTTAGCAGTCAAATGTCCTAGGAACTATGCCACCAGAGATCCCACCAGAGCTTCTAGCTTGGGCCCAGAAGACTTCTTTATTGATGGAAGACTTCCTCTATTGATGAAGCTTAGATTGCCTGAAGGCATGGGACAGAGCTGCTGGGACACACCTGATAAGAAACTGAAGTGAAATCAATGAAATAAAATCCTGTGACTTTCACAGAAGAAGATGTGTGCATAGATTTCATCCATAGTTGTCTCTAAGACCAAACAGATTCTTAACCTCTGTAAGGAGCAATGACAAAGGGACATGAGCACCACTGAACAGGACTTGAACTTAGGAATGTGCCATGAAAAGAGAAGAGCATCAGGGGCACATCCATCTAATGGGCAGGGATAATGGCCTCGGACACTGCTCCCCTAAGTATCTTGCCTGGTCACTTCCTGCCCATCCAAGGGGATCAATCTAAATTAGGTTTTCCATTTATCTGCT